GCGAAGAATTTTCCAGATACTGAATCTTTGCCTTTCATTTACATTTTATAACTAGAATAAGCAAAAATCTTTTGAATGCTTATCATGAATATGAAGAGACGCCTTTATGCAGAACTCTTATGCCTTATCTCTGACTTTGTTAATAGGATACCTCACCCACTCAGATTCTGTATCATTCCCCTTTTACAGTAATCCTGCTTACTTGTAAACTGCTGAAACTCCTCTTAAACACTACATTTGGTTTTGAAGGAAAAAAAAAAAAGACAGAATCGTAGCCTCAACTGTAACTGTTTCTATTTTTTTTGAAATCTGAGCATTTTCAAAATGGTAAGCTTGAATTCCCGGGATCTGTTTGCAAAAGGAAAGGAGAACCTTTAGACAGCTGTGTCTGTAGCTGCCCACCAGTTGCCTGCAATGAGTCATGAATGTCTTTCAAAGTCTCCTCTGCTCCTACTGCCTTCCTGCTTCTGGTCTTACCCACTGAGACCCAGCATTCCCCATTGGCTGTCAGCCCCATTTTTGGCTCTACCTTTGTCTGAATCGTGTCAGATGGATATAGAGATTTCCATACGTCTAAGAGTAAGCACATTGGCATTAATGCAGGACTGAGGAAGAAGAGAAGGGACACTCCATAGACCTTGTTTCCACCAGAGATGCTAAGAGGCCTGGCTTATGAACAGATTTTTGTTTAATGTTAAATGATCAGTGTTTCATTTCATAGTTGATTCAGCCAGAGAAATACTTGTAGTATAGGCAAAGGGAAGAAATACCACCTCCTTCACTCAGGAAAAAGAGAAGATTTAATACACCTTTGTCTGTCTATCTGTGTATATCTAGAGTATATGAAAGAGTAGAGTATGTGAAGATGTATGTTCTGGAGTATATGAAATGCACTGTGCCCTTGTGGCCAAGAAGGCCAATGGCATCCTGGGGTGTATCAGGAGGGGGGTGGTTAGTAGGTCGAGAGAGGTTCTCCTCCCCCTCTACTCTGCCCTGGTGAGACCGCATCTGGAATATTGTGTCCAGTTCTGGGCCCCTCAGTTCAAGAAGGACAGGGAACTGCTGGAGAGAGTCCAGCGTAGGGCTACAAAGATGATCAAGGGAGTGGAGCATCTCCCTTATGAGGAGTGGCTGAGGGAGCTGGGTCTCTTTAGTTTGCAGAAGAGGAGACTGAGGGGAGACCTCATTCATGTTTATAAATATTTAAAGGGTGAGTGTCACGAGGATGGAGCCAGGCTCTTCTCGGTGACAAACAATGATAGGACAAGGGGTAATGGGCACAAGCTGGAACACAGGAGGTTCCACTTAAATTTGAGAAGAAACTTCTTCTCAGTGAGGGTGACAGAGCACTGGAACAGGCTGCCCAGAGAGGTTGTGGAGTCTCCTTCTCTGGAGACATTCAAAACCCGCCTGGACGCCTTCCTGTGCAACCTCATCTAGGTGTTCCTGCTCCAGCAGGGGGATTGGACTAGATGATCTTTTGAGGTCCCTTCCAATCCCTAACGTTCTGTGATTCTGTGAAATGACCCATTAGTAAATAATTATAAAATATGTGATATGTGCCATAGTGCTTGAAGATATGTCGCTAGCTTTGTGAATTCCCATTAAGCCATTATAAGCTTTCTGCTAAATTACATAGTTTGACAGAAATTACAATGAATTTCTGGACCTAAGCATAAGTGAACACAGATACAAAGTCATTCCTTGGCTTTATCCTTGTGTCGTCTCACCATACAACTACATCATGTTTGATACGAAAGAGTTCAGAAGTGCTATTGCTGCTTCTAGCTGTGCTTACAACCTTATTTCCCTTCACTGACTGCAGTATTCTTGCAGTGAGCTGCTATTGCTTGTGAATTGTTCTGGTGTTTGCAAGAGTGTTATTACCAGTGGAGTAATAATCCTTACTTCTTCAGAGGAATGTCCATTTCTTCTTACCCTGCTCTCTCACAAATTACTTGGTTTGAACATATCTCTTTTCAAATGTTGAGGGAGTTAGGGTGTTATCAGAGGTCATACTTTTAAGTGAATTAGGAGCTAACAATTAAAGGAAATAATTGTGAACTGTTAGATAAAGTGAAAAATAAAAAGCTGTGCTTATGTCAACTGAGACACAACAACCAGTAGGCTGCTGATAGTGAATATAAACATAATTTGCCCTCTACATAGCTATTAGAAGCCAGTATACTTGTAGATTTAGTTTTGCTTATTAATTAGTTGTGTTTCAGCCTTACCTAGAGTACATTGTCTGTGTGCTTATGAAAATGCTGTTCTTCTCAAAGGGACATAGGCAAGCAGAATCGAGGAAGTATCTAGGCTGGAAAGGACCTCTGGAGATTGGGTGGTGCAGCCCCTCCGTAAAGTGGGGCCAACTGCGGAGTTAGATCTGACTTAAAAGATAGATCAAATAAAAAGTAAATCACTGAGGAATTTCATTATCCACTTTTGAAGTATTTTTGAAAGCTGTGTCCTGCAAGCCTTTGGACATTGAAGTAGCACATGTACACCTTTAAAGAAAGGGGCTGTGTCTTCGCCCAGTTTGTTGCTGTTTACCATTGATCATTATTTTTTTTATTTTGTCATCTTACCATTCCAGCAAGTTTGGGCAGAGAGAAGAGCACTCGTGCCCTTGATCTCTGCACAGAATCAAGGATCAAGAACAATGTTAAACTGAAATCCTGGCAATATCCAAACCCAAGAATCTTTTGGTGTCTTGAATGTGCCATAGATCTTATTTTCACATGTTGTCCCGTTCATCATCAGACACGTTCATCACACAGCTATCACTGTTATTAAAATTCTCATTCTAGGCAACAGCATTTTCACTTGCTCATTTTTGTGTTTAAATGGCAGAACTTAAAGGCTTAGTGTCCTTGTTCCTTTCCACTTTTGCCCTCCAAGGTTACTTATTTGGGCCAATTGCAGTGGAGCCTGCAGTTTTCTCCTCTAAACTGAATGTGTGCTAGCTTCTAAACTGCTGCATTTCAGGAGGTTGAATTTCTATGTCAGGCTGTGAACTTAGGGAGCTCATGGCCAGAGGGAGCGATAATCCTGAAATTGTCCCAGCAAGACTGAGTGAGTGGTTGCCAGTGTCCTGAAGGTGAAACTCCAACAGGGCTCAAAAAGAGAGAATCGAAATGTAGACTTGTGAGCAGTGGAGGGTAGGATTATACATGCCTGCAAACGAACAACCTCATTAATTTTAAGTGGCCATGGTGGTGATGTGATGTATGAGAGAATTCCAAGATTTGTGATCTTTAAAATAAACGTATTGTGATGTAACTGTTTTGGGGGTTACAGGTTTTAAGAAAAACAAGAACATTTCCCATGGGTGTTTTCACATCTTACTATTCTTTTTGGGACAGAGCTGTAAAATGAGCTTTGGTATTCTTGTCACCATTTTAGGTCAACACACCCTTTCCCCTCCCTATTGCTTTCCCCTCAGAGGTGTATATGGAGCTTTGCTTCAGGAATAATTACATGTATTTTTCTGTATATTCTTTGAGTAATGATAGGATAAAACTAATTTTTTTTGTCACATAAGTATTCCTTAAAGTAAAAAAGACAAATACCAAAACCCAACAAACTCCAGCACCCCCCACTGCCCCTCCAAAAAAACCCAACTTCAAAAGAAGGAAAGAGAATGAGAAATATAAGCTCAAAAGGTGCATTTGCAAAGAAACTTTGCAAAGACTCATTCAATGATATGAGGAAGGAAAGGATTTATGGTAGTCTTGAATCAGAAACTAGTCCTTAAACAATTAATAGTAGCACTTAGAAGAGGCACGCAGATAAGAGAACATGTCTGTTTATTTGATTAAAATAAAAAATATGTATTTATATAAAGGTATAAAATAACATTAAATTGAGAAGGGAACTAACTTTTTTTTGTTTTTCTTTTTTACAGTTGGACAGACAGAATGTTCCAATGTAACTGTGAAGGAAGATGCTGAAACTATGGAAACAAGTCTATCTGGTTTGAACACCAATGATGGTGGAGGTGCTGAGAAAGGGGATGCTGATAAACAGTTCTTGTCTTTGGAAGAAGACACAGAAGAACTTGACCATGCATCTGAGCCACAGTCTTATGATCTGGGTTTTAAAAAGGTTTTTAAATTTGTTGGATTCAGATTCACAGTAAAGAAGGAAAAGACTGGAAAATCAGAACCAGTTCAATTGCTTACTGTAAAGAAAGAAACAGAAGTCCCTGAAGGAGCTGGTGATCAAAAAGAAGTCTTCTCAGAAGAAACAGTGATGCCTGAGGATGCACTCGATTCAGGAGACAACACCAAAGACACACTGAATAATAAAAAAACAGAAGATGAGTCTCCTAAAACACCAGAAGCAAATGAGATTTCTTCTGATTCAGCTGCCTTAGCCACCGATACTGCATCACCGTTTAGAAAATTTTTTACTCAGGGATGGACTGTATTTAGAAAAAAGAAGAGTTTTAGGAAGCCTAAAGAAGATGAACAACCATCTCCTACGAAAGAACAGGAACAAGAAAAAGAGGGGGCAACATTAGCAACTGAAACCAGTGAAAAGAAGGAGAAATCTGAGCCTGAGAAGCAAGACAAAGAGAAGAATATGACAGTAGTAACTATTGAAGCACAGGAGAAGGAGCAAACTGACGGTCAAGAGCAGGAGTCTAAGACGACTGTGGCAGCCATAGGACGTGAAGCATGTTATGAGGAAGAGCTCGTCAAGCATGATGAGCAGGGACAGAAAGAGGAAGTAGCAGCAGCAGTTGTTAAAGAAAGTGCTGAGGAGAAAAAAGCTGAAGAAGATGATCAAGAAAGGAAACTGGTGGAAGTATCCGATGATCTTGGTAAAAAGGAAGAAAAAACTGAAGAAGGAGACAAAGAAAGTGATGTGACAGAGAAACCAGAGGAAACAAGGTCCATGGTACCTGATAGCACTGACGGTGTGAATGGAGGATTGAAAACATCCTCAGAAGTACTACCTGTGGGAGAAAAACCGGAGTCAACTGGAGTCAAGTGTGAAACAGAAGACAGAACTGAGATACCCTCTGAAGAGAAACTTGAAGTGGGATCTTTGGCAATTGAAATTCCTAGTGAGCAGCTTAAAAAATGTGAAGGAAGAGAAGGAAATAAACCTGCTCCACTGGGGAAAGAAACATATGATGAAATACCCAAGGAAGCAGACTTGAAAATTTCATCCATCTCAGAAGACATCACTGGAAAGTTAGATGAAACTCAAGATAGAAGCCCAGAGAAGAAAGCAAG